TTCAGCATCACCAGGACAGAGCCAGGTTTTGGTTAGTTTTTTTGGGGAAAGGCTGAGAGGTTTAATGTGAAATTGAATATAAATTCATTACCCATCTGCTATCAAAAGGCAAATGAGAAATTCCCATTGGCACAGCTGCCCAAAAAATGGCAGATGGGCCTGCAGAAGATTCTTAACACTGGCATCTCCATCAGAAAGACCATAAGTTGAAGGTTTCCTCATACATTACCACATTTGTTAGCATGAGATCTGTCTCAGTAAGGGCTTGGACTGCAGTACCTTGCTAAATTAGGGCTGTTAGCATCAGTCAGTGACTAATGAAGCATCACCTAGGAATATGAGATCTCCTGTGTCCATGAGGCTAATCCCACATAATCCAGAACACAAATCACACTCTCCATTTATCCGAGGCAGCCGTTTGCTCCCTGAAGTAGACACATTACATCATGTTTCCCAAAACCAACTAAGACTTTTCTTCCACCCTTTGAAAAACGCAGATGCCCCAGCCTGCTCCATGCAAACCCATTGTTCAGAATATCTTCATGGAAGATGTTTCTGGGGTCTTCCATGCCAGCATCTTCATGAGTTTTTACAAGTATTGTCAACTCTGTCCTCAGGACAAGGCAAAGAGAGAGCTGGGTTATGTTATTCCTCTTTATGGATGGGACAAATACAACTGATACTGGTCTAGAAAACTTTACCAGTGCAATGTTGTTTGCTGTTTCCAGGATCCCTCCTTGTCTCATGGCAGATGTGCTTCCCACCATGGAAGGCTGTATTTCTTTCCTTTCAATGCTTTTCTAGCAGGCTTTTTTGTTTATAGAGTCCAGTCCTACTCATAGAAAGCAGGTAAGCGTATGCAATCAAAGCATTGCCTGAATGAATTGCAGGCTTTAGGATGTGGCCTGTGCTTTTTGGAGTGAAAGTATATATTCTTATAGCATTTCTTAAATATGTTTTCCTTCTGAACATGGCTTTATCTCAGGGCTCCTGTGAGGTTAGCGTTCCATTTGTCCTGTAGCACTGACAGTAGAAGCTGCATGCCCCCACTAGAGCAGGACCTGTGTTTTTATGTGGTCTTGAAATAGCTAGCTGTTTTGTTTTGATTTCCTGGGCCACAGTAAATATTAAGCTACCCTCACACTTCAAAAAATGACGGAATTTCACACATTATGTTTACAGATCTAAAGTTAATCTTTGTACCAAGGTTTGTCACCATTTGTTAAGCCTCTTGCTTTCCTAAAGTGACTCATTTCTTTCTCTTGTTATTCAAAAGTCACACCAGATAATTTATTAGGAAACAGATTTCTCCTACAGCCTATTTTATATCTTTGTTTAGTCATTCCCACCATCAAAAGCCCTGCAAAAGCCTCATCTCACAGACTTCTCTGCTGCCACCTTTTGTTTGCTGGTGCTGCCTTGACCTCAGGTGACCACAGATGATGCAAAAACTGCAGAAGTAGCTTTTGGCTTTGTGATGGGCCCACCCCTCCCCAAGTGTTCATGAAGAGTAAAACTCACCCCCTTCATATGAGTGAGACGAACAAATAATATTCTATGCTACATTTCAGCATGAAAGAAACATCCTCTGTTTTTACTATTGCCTTTCCTCAAGTTAATCTGCAATGAATTGGGTGGTTGGCTAGCAGTATATTTATTGGTACTCAGGAGTCTTATAGTGTTTGTTGGTGAGAGTCACCTCTTGTTGTTTTATCTGTTTTATTAGAAATGGCATACTAAAGAGAATCATAGACATAAATAAATCAACTCAGTCCCCCAGGCTAAAGAATTACTTTCAGACTACCTGAAATTGGTATGTACATTTCAGATTTTCCTGGGGTTTTCCAAAATGCTCAAGTGTGAGACTGTCCTGCCTGAGATGCTAACAACTGGAAATATGCCTTTTGGAAGGCATTACCTGGGCTGAGTACCCTGTACAATCTGAAACTCAGGCCCCTTTGATGAATCTCAAGATAGGCACCCCAAATCGCTATAATTTCTCAAAGGAAAGTTCATATCTGTCTCTTCGGTGCCTCTATGTGTATGTTGACTTCACACACAAATGTATAAATGTATGTGTGCGTGTATGCGTATGTATCAGTGGATGTAGGCATGCACGCATTTGCAGCTTTTGGGGGGCATCTTATTCATCCAGCACAATTTCTGTGGCATATCTGCTCCTGACAGGTGTGTGTTTATGTGTGGAGGTGAAGGAGCTTGGGTAGTACTTGGATAGTACTTCTATCTGGCATTAGTCTGCTGGGTTGCCTCGGACCTGTCTTTCTCTGTCTGAGCTTTAGTTCCCTCATTTATAACTTGGGGTTTTTTTTGTGCACTGCTTTTCAATCAGCTGTAGAAAGGTGATTATGCGAAACGTAGTAATTACTATCATATAACTTATTTTCCCACTGTGTTTACGCGTAGATGGTTAGTCAATAAATCAATCTGAAATTGATTATAAATACTTACCTTTAGCTTATATTCCTGAGCACTGGAAAACATCAAATGACTTATTAGTATATTCTAGTAGGCAATTATTTGCTAGGACAGCTAAATCAAACTCCTGCCTGACCTGCACTGAGACTGAATCTGACATCAATTGAAGGATTCCTCTCACCAAACTTCAGGTATATTTGTGTCAGTCTAGGCTGCTTCTACAGCAGATGGAAAGAGATTAAACCCTTGGGAGTACTTGTCTTCCCTTCTCTTTTAGGAACGAAACATCCTCTGTTATCTCTCTCCCTGAACTCCAGAGGAGGCTGTGTGCCTGGCTTACACTACACTCCTAACTTTTAAGGAACTGATGTAGGTGACAGACATCCCATCCCTTCAGTCTTACACAGTTAACTACAGCGCAGTTTGGTGTCTGGCAGATTTAGAAACATTTCTGAAAAAGACAAAGCCCTCAAAGTAACCTTGGCTAGAAATAAATCTTGAGTGTCATAAAAATGATGTTAGGTGTCTCATTAAGCACTAAACATGATTTAGGGTGATATAAGGATCTATATGAAACAAATATTGGACTGTATAAAGAAACATTAAAAGTTTGATGGAGTAGCATTGGTAATTTGGAGAATGAGGTGTAAAGAATCTTCTGATTTAATCTGTGGCTGAAGTAGGTTTCTCATCATAGTTTAAGGCACGATCTGTTGTCACCAGTACTTATGGGAGCTTTCCTAGAAGCAGCTAAGGTCTCTAGATTTATTTTTTTTTCTAATTTGTATGGATCAAAAATTCTGGAAAAATAAGGAATATCCATGTGAAGCTAATATTTCTCTCTCCCCCTGGATCTTTCCCTCGCATTTCCAAGCAGAATCCCAGCTCCCAGTGCAGGGGGAGAGGCGACATTTGCTTGGGTGCTTTGAAACTGCCTCCTTAAAGAATAAGCCTTACATTCACCCTTTGAGGAGGGGAAGGTTTGAAGTACTCTGTAGCATTACAGTGACATTTGCTAGCATGTTCCAAGGAACTGGTCACCAGTCTCATTGAAATCTTTTTTCTATGTGGGATTCATTTGCTCAGTTTGGCAACTTGTATTTTTTTGGTAATAACAAGGTGATGATCAGTCAGGTAGAATTCCTGTCCCCACTGAAATCGATAGCAAAACTCCCACAGACTTCAGTGGAACAAGCAGCTTGAGAATCCTAATATTTTATGCTCTACTCTGCTTGTTTAAATACTCCCAATTTCCGTGTTTGAAATGGACCATCTTTTTTCATTAAAGCTACAAACAGTATATTGCTTTTCTGTTTCCAAAGTAGAAGTATCTTTCCTATTTCCAAGGAAGATATTTTTGTATTTATTAGCCATGACTCATCCATACATTTCTGAAAGAACAGCATCCATCATTAAGGCCCAGGATGGTCAAATGGATTGGGACAGATTTCATACTAAGTGCATACTGGCAGAGCCTTGCAGATTCAAGACCAGGCCCATAGCTTCTAATGAAATTTCAGATATACAAAAACTGAGATTATACTGCAGACTGAAATAGGATTGCTTGCCCATAGCAATTGAAATACAATACACACGTCCATGGGAAAAGGTCCTTCTATCTCCTGAGAATTTGTTTTACAAAAGGAATTACTTCTGATAGCTGGGACTGAGAAGGACGAAAAAAGTTTTCAAGGTAAAGCTGCTGAATGCGCTGTGTGAGCAGATAGGAACTGCTAGACATGAGGGGTTCCCAAGACTTAACATCACTGGGAGTCTTACTCCCTGTATTGTTTAATCCCATTCAACAGTTACAGGCAGGTTGGCAAAGTTACGGTGATAATCTAAAAAAATAATAAGATCTTAAAAATTTTGTGCAATGGGTGTCCCACATTTGTGTCACTGGTAACAAAAAAAGCTGCACTTCACTAGAAAGACTACACAGCCTGCTGCTCTGGCCATCTCAGCCACAGGGAAAGACGTGACCTAAACCCACATATTAAGAGACATGGGATAATTTGGTCACAAGACACAAAACTGCATAAATTCCACTTCATTCACTCCTCTTCTCACAGAGCTGTTTCTTTGCATTGTATGCACAGATATGCAGATGTCTTGCAGTCCCAGATGGACATGGGAAGCTTTAGTGAGAACAGTTGCACAGCTGTGTGGTGTGTAAATGACTACTGTACCTCAGCCAGCAGAGCTATAGGTTTTCAAAACAGATACCACTGGAATATATGCAATGCCTGGCTGGACAGTATCTGTTCTGTGGTCAGCATGTGCAAGGGAGTGGAATTCCATCTTGGGAGAGAAGTAGAAAAGGGAATAAAAAATGGAAATAGGAAACAGAAAAAGTACGTTTGAAAATAAACCTGAGAAGGAGCCTCACTGGGTTGAGGAATTTCATGGCTAGTTGTGTATAAGGCCATGCTTGAAGAATCATAGACCATGGAGAGGTTGGAGGGAATCCCAAAGGTCTCCAGTCTGACCTCCTGAATCAAGCAAATCCCATTGCAGCAGGTTATTCAGGGCCTTGCTCAGGCTGGGTTCGGACACCTTCAAGGATGGAGATTCCACAGATTTTCCGGGCACCTGTTGCAGTGCCTGGACACTCCAATGGTAAAGGGTTTTTTTCTGCTTTTTGAGTAGGAATTTGAAGTTGCAACTTGTGTTTGTTCCATCTTGTGCTTTCTGGAGTTTGGCTCCACTGCAATAAGATCTCCTGAAGTCTTTTCTTCCTGAAGGTGAACAAATGCAGTTGTCTCAGCCTCTCCTCATGTGTCCTGTGCTCCAGTCCGCTGGACATCTTTGTGGTCCTGCACTGGATTCGCTTCAGTTTGTCCTTGTTCTAGGAACCCAAAACAAGACACAGTCCTCCGGGAATGATCTCACAAGCACAAGGAGAAGGCAAGAATCATTTGCCCCAGACTGCCTGCTACACTCTTGCTAATACAGGCCAGCACTTCATTGATCAGGGATGCACTACTGAGGCACTCATGTACTTACACTGAAGTGGTGCATTGGGACCCTCTGGACTTTTTTTCTGCAGGACCAGTTTGTATGTAGCAAGTTTTTGCCCAGCATGTCCTGCTGCATGGGCTTGTTCCATACCAGATCTGGGCCTTCTCATTTGACTTTGTTGTGCTCTCTGAGGTCTCTCTCAGGCCATCTTTCCAGCCTGTCTAGGTGACTCCAAATAGCAGCCTTGTCCAGCAGGGTATTGACGGTTCCCCCCAGTCTGGTGTTATGTCCAGACACAGAGAGTGCAAAGGAGTGATGTGCCAAAGTTCTTTATTGAGATAGGTCTTCTTCTCACTGAAAAGTCTTTACATCTTGGGAGCAGGGTGTGAGGAGTGTCAAGCACAAGCAGCTTCATATTATGAGTTTATAAAGAACCTGGTGAGAAATAGCACTCTCAAGGACACTGCGGGTAGTCCTCCATTGCGGGGTGAGGTTAGTACCGCTTTATCATGAGTCCACCACTGGATAGAGCAATGGAGAACAATTTCTTAAATGTTACTCTTTGAACTGTGTTTCAGGATGGGTCAGACTTAAGTATATAGACTGGAGGAGGAGAGGAGAACTGTGTATCATATGTCTGGGACAGATCAGCCATGTGAGACAGTCTTCAAATGTTAAAGTAGATCACACAATCTGAGCACAGGAGAGGAGTTTGTTTTCCTTAATCTGGTCTTCTCTCTTTCTCTCTGTCAGATGATTTTGAGTCTGAAGTCACACCTGCATGATTTTTGCAACATGTTTAGACTATTCATTTTAAAGTTACTGGTTTCATTTTTGCTACCTGTTGGTTTTATGCACCAAGCTTTTAGCCCTTGGGATGTTGCCAGGACTACCAAATTATTCCCATATTGTATGTTCACAGTGACATTTCTCTGTCCCTTCATGGAGAGCCCTATAGCAATTCCCAAATCCCTAAAAAGTGATTAGCGATTATTGTTCTGTAAGTACTTAATAGGGAGGTTAAGACAAGCCACCAGGTGTTTTTGCAATAACACTTGGTAGCGTGAAAATTCAGCTCTAGCTATTACATGGTGTAAAAAGGGAAAATGCCTGCCCTTGGAGAGATCAGTAGTTATGCTGATGTTTGTATATATCCCATTTTTTCTGGCAGGTTGCGCAGTTCTATTATTTTTGAACCTTTCATTCCCTGATAGGGGTTTATCTGTGTTTATATTAGCAGGATTGATCTGTAACTGCAACATCGGCTTCTGCTAAAGGTATTTTTCTTGCACAATCAGTAAGCTGCAAAGCCACATTTTCAGTCCTCCTCTTCGTATCCAACATGGCATATTTGTATATAGCAACAATGGAAGGGGGCTACGCTTCACATGGGAGGTTTGAAATAGGTGATGGTGAAATAGCTTAGGAGCAGAGAAAATGCTCTTCTGCAGCAAATCGTATCATTCACAGTGTCTTTTTTTTCTCTTTCAGGAGGTTGGAAGCATTATCGGAAAGGTCAGAAAATTACTTTCTCTCTGTATTTTTATGTCAAAATATTGTATATCAGTTCACTTCATCAGCCCAGGCTAACTTTTTTTCTGTTTCTTTAACAGAAAGGTGAGACAGTAAAGAAGATGAGGGAGGAGGTAAGACAAGCTTTGATGTCTTTGCTTGCCGCCTTTTCCAGCTCGGAGAACAGGGAAATTCAGTGTGTACAGACCGGCACTGCCATCAAGTGGGCAGTTATTTTAACATCACCACTCTTTGCAAGTGGTAGTGTATAAATGCACTGGTCTAGATTAAACATTGTTGTTAACGTAACCTCCTTATCACCACAGCAGTCTGGAGTCTTTCATTCCCATAGCAATATGCCTGCTGCTGTCTTCTCTCTGGAACAGCTTAGGCAGCATGATTCTGTGCATTGAACCCACTGTAGCTTTGTTTGGAATACCAGCACGGGTCCAGCACATGGCTTATCCTCCTGGCAGAGAGCTTCCAAAATCTGAAATCAAGCGTTAGACTGCCACTACGTAAAGTTTGAGGGTAGACACAAGCTTGAGCAGAGCTGGGGACAGACTTGCATAAGCCAGAGCATGCCTCTGCCATGTCTTGGCAAAGCCTTAGCTTTTTATCGTTTTGCAGCTGTGAGTAGGATGTGGACAAGGTAGATCTGCACACCCACCATTGACATCCTTTGAAAAGGTTGTAAACACAGTGCCCACAGGCTTCTTTCCGTGCCACACAGTGAGCTGCGCTGTCTTCAGAGGATTGTGCCCAGGTGGAGGTCACAGGCCCACGCTTGTCCTGCAAGACAGCAGGACATCTTACCTGGAGATCCATGTCATTTTCCTTCTTTGAAGCAGGTGCTAAAAGCATAAGTCAGAAGACAAATCCTACTGTTTAAAACTTTAGGAGTGCAAAGTGTGTAGAGGATGGCTCAAGAAAAGTCTATCTGGTTCCAGTAAATCTGCAGTATGTTACCATGTCAGCTGCTTTGTTGTTTTATACGCTGACAGAAGGTCTGCAGCAGGGAAATCTCAAAGTGTTTGTTGTACAGAAAGTTGCTGAGATACATCTTTAAATATACACAATTGGGAGTTCATTGTCAGGCTGACTGAGTTCAGAGCTCCTTTTTTGATGATAAGAGCTTTCATCCATGTTTTCACACATAAATACATTTGCTAAGACAAAAAAAAAAATATAAAAAAACCTGTTTCCAATATACTAGGTAATCCTGCCACTTGATTAAACACATTGTAGTTTAATTATTAATGATGATCACAGGCAGATATCTTTGGATATAAATTGCATGCACAAAAGGGAAGCCATCATTGGAGAGTGCTCTTGACTTCTGGGTCAAACATCTTAGAGTTATGATGCCTGGTTAGTTTTTTCAAGACAAATGTTCTGCTTCCACACATGAAAACCTATTGTCATGTACACGTGGTCACAAGTGGCTTTATTTGGTTGATTGGCTTCTTTTTGAGATAAAGGAATTAAATGCATCTTTTTATCATCACAGGACTAAGAGTCTATGTCTCCACCTGGTGATAACTCAGTCCTCCTTTAAATGACTGCCTTCTTCAGTACTTATTTAAAAGCAAAATGTAACTTTATTTTGACTTTCCTGACAAGTGTGACAGGTTGCATGCCATCTTTATGGAACGAAATGTCAGAGACAGCTTCAGACCTAAGGAAAAGTTCAAAAACCTCATTTCTGTGAACTTCCTACACAAATAGGAAAGCCACCACGTAGCATTTTAATTGCTGTAGCAATTAAACTCCATGGTGGAGTGATCTTTCAGACAAGCTCCCATGGCTCCGGTTTCAAAGGAAGAACTGTGCTTTGCACGAAGGTGGTCATGGGACTAGCAGGCCTGCCTGCCATGGACAGCTCTGCCCAGCACAGCTTCTGGTGTGCTCCCTGCCAGGCTGAGTCCCACAGACTTGGGTTTTCCTGTGGTGGTGGCAGTGGGACATTGCCACCAGCATGAACGAGCTGTGGGATGTGATCTCCCTCCTGATCCAGTGCTGGTGTTTGATGAGGGCAAGTCCCAATCAGGTTGGCCCATCAGGAGAAGTGTCCGCTGCCCTTTCTTATCTATGAATGCTGAGTATGTCTGCCAGCCGAGTCCGTGGCAGCAAGACTACTGTCAGTAGCGTTGGGGTTTTTTTCCTTTGTTGTATTTGGTTGGTGTCATATGGGGAAATAGGATATCTTACTGTTGAGCAGCAGTTAAGCACATCAGCTGAATCATGATAACTCTGAAGGCAAAAGGGCCAAATTTACCTAGATTATCTCACATTTGCTACAGGTCCTCCTCAGGGAGGTTGGTGCCTGTGGATAAGTTGAGACTGCAGTGACTTCAGGCTGCATTAACACATTTCCATGTCTGAAACCTCAGGGAAAGTGTAGGGTGGGTCTTACCTGAACTTGTTTCTATCATCACCTACACTGAGATCCTTTTAAATATATTTACATATACTTTAGGGGTTTTCTCTGCACTTCTACAGTGGCATGAAGGGGACTAATGGTACCTGAGAGCCATGCTTGATTGTCTTCAAGATTTACAGTTTTCTAGCTCATTCCAACAGGCTCCTTGCCTTAAGGTAATACCACCATTACTGTTGCCTGTCCTATGGATACTCCTTTAAAGGGCTGTTCAATGCATATTAGTTGACTGCTTTCACATTACACACATCTATAAGAAACCTTCTCCACAGTGCAAAGCCTCAGACAGATCAAGCCCTGCCTTTGGATCTCCAGAGAGGTGCATCTTTCCTGAGAGATGCTGATGCTCCCTGGAGACACAACCTTGTCTGAAATTCTGCAGCTTCAGTCCTGCTTAAGGTTCACCCTGCAAGAGGGAAAGGAAAATACTTGATTGTGCAATTATTTGCAACTTTGAACTACAGAGGCGTGATTTGCGTACTGCAATGAAGGCTATATAAGTATTTACCCAGACAGAATCTGGCTTCCTGCGGTTAGGTGAATTTTTAGAGTGTGATGAGTTTATACTGAAATTGTATGATGTTGGGACTGCACTTGTAGGGGAGGGAATTGAATGCCTCAAGGTATTCCTTCCTAAACTATATGCCTAATCCTACTTAGTTTGGTCCCTGGGAGGTATAAATTTGAAAAATATTTGTTCTTTTTGACAGAGTGGTGCTCGAATCAATATTTCAGAAGGCTCCTGTCCAGAGAGAATTGTGACAATAACAGGCCCAACAGATGCAATTTTTAAAGCTTTTTCTATGATTGCACTAAAATTTGAAGAGGTAAGCAAATAAAATACTTTTTTTTTTCTCTCTGCAAGTTGAAATACAAACAGTGTTTGAATTTTCTCATGTTTGCTTTAATGTTAAATATTATTTGTTTAATGTTCTATTTAATAGCAATGAAAGTGGTTGTATTTTTATAAATGCTTTTGGCAGTAACACTGAAGAAAAATAATGTGTCAATTTACAAGCTGTTTGATCATTTCTTTTGCTTTTTGGAGGCTTCAGGGAAAAGCAATTGCTTCTAGTAATGTGCACTAATGGTAGGAAAAATGTCTTGGAAAATTTCTGGTCCCATTGTGGGTTTGATTTCAAAAGAATAATTGCCTAACTTTTAGCTCTGTTTTTATGATTCCATTTGGTATTGATGTAAATTTTATATATGTCAAAATGAATATATAACTCATTTAACTAGAACTTTTTTTTAATTTTAAAATCAATCTATATGATTACCGATTACCAATTACCATATTTAAAGCTTGGCTTTTAAAATTAATTAAAATAAAGGCTCTAAGAGTAAGTGAGGCAAGTGTTCCATTTAATGTGGAATAACTGTTCTGTGCAGTTATGTACCTAAAATGCTGGAATCTCCTCAAGTTTCACAGACCAACTACAATTAGACATGGTCACCACTTTAATGGGAAGCCTCACAGAAAAGACAGCAGGCTGCAGAACCCTGGTCACTCAGGAGAGGCTTTAACTCCCTCTGCTTTCAAAAATCACACATGTAGTCCAGGCACCTCTCCTGTCCTCTCTGGAGAGGAAGAGGCCCCTGCAGAAGGCAGTTTGCCTTCTAAGGCCATGTAGACAAGCAGACTGAATCACTTGCAGCAGGAGAAAGGGACTGTCTCTCTCCATTGATGAGTAAACCAGCAGGGTGTGAATTTTTTTTCTTAAGAGTACTTATCTCTTCAGGTCAGTGAGGTTAGTCTCCACATCTCCCCATAGCACTGGGAGATGCTGGTATTGATGGGAAATATCAGTGTGTGCCTTTATTTGCCCATGGTGATTATTCACATTTAGAGCAATAGGACTAGAAGAGAGCTTGTGGGTCATCAGGTGCAGTTGTCCTCCAGCATAAGCAGTGCGTCTTGCAACTTCCTTCACAGCATCATCAAAACCTAGTGAGATTTTTTCCTAATTCCTGATATTGGATCCACAACATAAGTTCTCTGACAATTAGGCACCTTCTTTTCACTCCTCACCTGGACAGTATACAGCTTTGTTCCTGTGCCAGCACTTGCCATTAGTTTAAGCAAGTCTTCCCTTTCCATCCCTGAGGATTCTACTCTTAGATGCATATTTAGAAACCAGTTTTATCCTCCCACAGCCTTGCTTTTGCCAGAGTGAGTCAAGCTCATTCTCAAAAATGAGAGGATGCATTCTTCACCTTTCTCATGACTCTAGTAGTCCCTTTCTACCTTTTTCCAGTTGCATTTTATGTTGTACATGTGTGTTAATTGTGGACGGGTTGCAAATGAAGTTCCACAAGGGCTTATTTAATGGTGCTAACAGTCCTCTGACCTGGCTATCATGCTAACATATCCCTGCCACTGCTGGAAATGCCTCACCTCCTACTGCTGTAATGCTTTGCACACAACCGTACTGTGCCTGGCGGGTATCTCCAGCTCCCGTTCACATGTTTTCAATGGGAACCTCTTCAGTCTCAGCAGGTATTCCTGTTAGCCCCCAGACAAATGACCTTTTATTATTATTATTATTCTGCAAATGTTAATCCCATTTATATTTCTCCAATCCTTTATGAGTTTTCAGATCTTCTTGTGTGATATTCTTATCTTTCGATATGGTTTTGTGGCATGGTACATTTTGTAAGAAAGCTTTTTTTTTCCCCTTAGCAGTTACTAATGAGATTATAGTGATTTTGAGGTTGAGTCCTGCAGAACCACACAAGTAATTCTTTCCAGCCTGATTTTAAAACCACCTGTTGTCATCTCCTTCTCAGCTTTATCTCCCACCTATCTTGTATTAATTCCTGCTTCTTCTAGCTTAAGAGGCAGTTTCGTGTATGGTACCATACCCTACAATCCATGGAGACCTGGAGAGAGCAATCTCTCTGCTCTCTACACAAAAATCATGTTCTGCTTAGGGCCTTATCCTGAAAAATGCTGAGGGAATTATTAACAGAGATAATTCCCGCCAATTCCCACCAAACCCAGTATCCAGTGGAAATAATGCTGCATTTCTCATAAAAACATGGAACACTGCGCAGCCTCAGATCCCTACCCCACCACCCAACACCACGTTGTTTTTGAAAGTGCTGTAGCTAGCAATATGCAGAGAAATCTGAAATTCAGACATCTGACTGGATTTTATACTTTTGTAGATTTTAGAGGATAATCTGGACTCTTCATATGTATATTGATTTTAGCACTTCCTGCAGATCACGTACTGCGGTTATATATTCTGAAATATCCGTACTTAGTTTTAATATTATTGGCTTCTGGTATATTTAAAAGAACAGTGGTAAAGAAAAGTGTCTCCTATAGTCAGTTATATTTCCTATAATTATTCCTGTCAATAAAATGAGGTGCCTTGGGAGTAAAATAAAGTTCTGTCTCAGAAGCTACAAATTAGCTAGGTACCAAACGTTATTTTTCATGCATATTGTTTTGTTGGAGATTTCTTCAGGCATTGAAAGAATTGAAAATCCCAGAACAGACAGTGCCTGGCCCAGTTTCCAGCCAACCATACTCGGGAGCCTGCAATTTTGGAGGGGATTTTTTTCTCTTCATTTTTTGGTTGTGTTTTTAAGCTGGACTGATGCCTTTGTGGATATGCTGCTGAGCCTGCGTATTTAGGTTTTGGTATTTTTAAAGAACAAGGAGGAAATAAAGAGAATGGCAGCTTGCAATTTTTGTGAAGTGCTTTTGAAGGCAGTAAGGGCAGTGAAGGCTTTGAGAACAGGCCAGATGTGATACAGAAATGGGAGACATTATCAGGGTTGTGCTGGGTGGCCAGAGAGAGTTATTTACCTACCTCTGGATGATCATGTACCTCCACCTGACACAAACATGATATAGTGAGATGGCAGCTTCCAGCTGAAAAATTGGCATGATTTGTGCTTTATTTCAGATACATGGGTGCTGGAAAATTCCGTTATCCCTCTTGGTTTATTCTGGATTGCAATCTCTCACTGACAGGGGCACTAAACAAAATTTGAGTTACTGGCTGGCAGAGGAATGATTTGATAGCTGTCTTGTGGCATTCAGCAATGCCTCATTCTGTTCAAGTTTTTTTTCATTCTCTTTTAAGCTAAACAAGGTCACACTGAGCCATTTCTTGGGTGGAAGAATATTGCTATCACAAATGCAGAGGTACTGCAGGAGTCAGTGAGCTCCCACCCTGGTTCAACAAGACATGCAGAGTTGTTTAAAGCACTTTTTTATTTTTTAATTTGGGATCCTGATCACATAGTATAGGCACTTTAAAAGAAAAGAAGTGGTAGTCTTGATAAGTGAGAGTGTAGGGAGTCACGTCAGTTTTGTCTGCTGGAACTCTTGTTGTGTCATAAATTAGTTAAATGAATATGAAATGTTTTCTGTCATTCCTGTCCTAATCTTTTGGGTAACATTTCTGTGTAATAGCCGTGCCATACCACCTCACAGATGGATGGGTTGGCCTTTTCAGCTCACAGCTAATGTTAGCAAACCACCTCAAGATTCTCATGAGTTGCTGGACAGGTGCCATGCAGCTCATGCATCTTTATTTGTGATCCTAAGTGTTCTCAGCATCATCTCATCCATCAGTGGGAAGATAAGCTTTATCTTTTCTTCTGTAATGAAGACTTTAGAGGGATTGCTTTGTGTTGCCTAGAAGCTTTTGAGCAAACAAAAAATATTAAAAGCAATGTAAACCTTGCTACAAGTAGTATATTAAAATGCTCATGAAAACATGTAGTAGTCTCATTGGATAATGAGATATACAGATACAGGTTACATTACCTGGATACAGGTCACTGCTGTTCTGCTGAAATTTCTGTGCTCTGGTTACACAACTCTGATGGAAAAGATTTTAGAAATTATGTAGCACTGCAAATACTTATGGATCTGCTACAAAAGAGAAGTTAAACCTGGCAGGCAGCAAAATATTTTCAAAATAATCTGATTTTTCTCTGCTTCAGATTGTTTACAGATTTTTTTTTGTCATTTGCTTTTTTAACCTTTTTTCTTTATATTGAACCTGACAAGAAATTGCATTAAATGTGAAGACAGATCATTTAGTATAAGTATCTAGGGGCCTGTGAACTCAAAAGCCTCTTTGTGTTTTCCCTCTGCTTCAGCTGGTCTAATGACAGATACCACCTCCTCCTCCTAATCTTGCATCAGAGACTGTCCTGTGATCCCCACAGCATGGACCTGCAATGCCAGACAGCAAAAAGGTTCCTTTGGCACAAGGTCCCTGTGCTTACAGTGTCTCACCAGCAGAGCCGGTGGCTTTACCTGCAACAGAAACAAACTGGACTGGTTACAGGCTTCCCCAGGTCTCCATGAACGGCTCAGGCATTTGCTCTGAGCCCTTCAGTGCTTACCAGGATTGACAAATCCTCCGCTAATTCTTCCTGACGTTCTGATTACAGGACATAAACGCCTCGATGACAAACAGCACGGTGACAAGCAAACCACCTGTAACGCTGCGGCTCGTCGTCCCGGCAAGTCAGTGTGGATCCCTTATAGGAAAAGGAGGTTCCAAAATCAAAGAAATCAGGGAGGTAAGTCCTGAGATGTCTGCCAGGAACACTGGCTGGCTCCGCGTCCTGCCACAGTGTGCCCTGTCACCGTCAGCCGCTGCACTTTGCTCATCGCATGAACATGAGCATGTGTTGAATGAAAAGTCTTGCTCTGGGGGAAACAGAGGTTCAGCACAGCTGTACCCTCCTACCTTCCTTGAAGCTAAAGACTATGTGTGAAATAAAGAAATTTAGCAAAGCAACAGTTTAGTGACAGAAGTGGCTCGTCCAGTTGCTCTTCAGGACCAGCCCCCTTCCCAGCAACATTCAGGTGAGCCCAAGCTGAAGCGTTGCAGCCATTTCCAAATTAGCCGCCACTCTTGCATTCACAGAAAGGCCGAAGTAGCACTGGGGAGTCCAGGTTAGTAAATCAAATGCTTGATCTACTTTTTAGAAAAAAGTTATCTTCATACTCCTTTCTTGTTTCTCCCCAATGTCACTGTACCACAGGTGACCTGATTTTATGTGTTCCAAACACATACTGATATTTTTAATCCAGACTTTATCTAAAGGTATTAATTCAATGTACTGTGCTAGGAGCAACTTTTTCTTTTAACCAGAAAATGCAAAAATTATCATACAGTGCCAGTTTAATTCTTCCATGCATGACTGTAGCAACCTAGCACATGCAAAGTCAAGGATTCAATGTCTGTAACCAGTTAAACAAGACAATTAGGCACATGGTCAGTTATGTCAAGGAACTCTGAATAGGACATTTCAGAAAAATGGATTTTCGTTCTGGAGAAAGTGATTCCTTCTACATTTGTATTCATCCCAACATGGGATAAAGTGTTGAATATCAAGATAACATGCTGATCAATTTTTTTCATTTGACTATGTCAAAGCAAAAGCTTTTGACAGGCTTTACCAAAGTGAAACTTGCTTTTTTTCTTAATCTAAAATGTAAATTCGAGACAGTAGGTTTCAGTGAGCTTTTAAGTTTCATTTCAAATGTGAAAAAAAAAGTTAATGGGTATTTTTCTATCAAAGAAAATTTTATCAAATGCCAAAAAGGAGTGGAAAGTTCTTTGATCAAAATTTTATATGCGGTATTTGCAATGAAATGTTAGTTTACCGTCGCCTTGGAAAGAAAGATATGATAGAGGACAGTTAAAGGTCTGTTGTGGTTTAACCCCAACCAGCAGTTAAGCACCACACTTACCTCCCCCACCAGTAGGACTGGGGAGAGAGTCAGAGGAAAAAGGGGGAAAAAAAACCCTCATGGGTTGAAATAAGAATAGTTTAATGATTGAAATAAAATATTATAATAACAATAACAATAATAATAAATTGTAATTAAAGGGATAAAAAAGAAAGACAAAACAAAGAAAACCCAAGTGATACGACCACTCACCACCTGCCAACCGACACCCAGATAGTCCCTGAGCAGTGATCATGCCTCCTGGCTAACTTCCCCCGGCTCATATACTGAACAAGATGTCTTAGTGCATGGTATATCCCTTTGGCCAGTTTGGATCAGCTGTCCTGGAAGAAGCTGGGAGGACAGGGGCAGTAAGAGAAACTGAAAAAGTCCTTGAATTAATGTAAGCATTGCTTGACAACAACTAAAACATCAGTGTGTTATATTCTCAGCACAAATGCAAAACATAGCCTCATGCTAGTTACTATGAAGAAAAATTACTCTGTCCCAGCCAAAACCAGCACAAGGTCTCATCCTGTAAACTTTCAATTTCTTCCAAATTATTTAACTTCGATTCCAATTTGATTGTCTCAGGAGTTTTTTTAACAGAATTCCCTCTGAAGGCTTATCTTCACCTTTCAGCATTTGGCTGCTACTGAAAGGTTCTTTTCTCTCTTTGCATACAGGGAAGTATAAAAGCAGTGTGTACCACCTCCATTAGCTGGCAGAGCTGCCAAAAGCTGTTTCAGAGTTTATGTTGCCAACAGCATGTTGTTCCTCCATGTGCCTCTTGCTTTGGAAACTGTGTTCATGAAAACATGCATAGGTTGTCTGCTGTAAACTCACAGAAAAACAATTCAGAGCCCTGCCATTGAAGGAGTGTCTTGGTTTACTGGGATAGAATCACAGAGTCAGTTTTTCTGTCCAGGAAAGATGCGTTTCTGTAAGGACTGCAGTGCTCAATTTCATGGAGACAAAGTGATAAGCTGCTTTGATTTACTTTTTGGCCAGCACTGGCATGTGGTGATAAATGTCAGTGACCAACTGGTGCAGGGGCTGGGGGAAGCAGAAACCCAGGGCAATTGACTCTAAGCTGACTCCAGGCTGGCCAATGAAGATTATTTCATACCATAAACATCATGCTCACTATAAATTGAGGAGTTTGCTGGGGATGGCCCTCCTTTTCCAATGGCTGACATCTCACGAGGGTCTGGTCTGCCATCCTACCCCTGAGGCCTACTCCCCTGCTATATTGTCTAACTCTGTGTACTTTATATGAATACTCTTATTAATACTAGTTTTTGTCATTGTTATTTTATTAAACCTGTTTCTATTTTAACCCATGGATCTCCTTTTCTTTTTCTCTGTGGATGAAGAGGAGTCATTGAGGCATAGAACAACTGTCTAAACCACAACAAGGTGTCTCTGTGCTTACTGCGACCTGCCAATAACAGACAATTACAAATCAGATTTTTTTTTTCTTGGAATGCTGTCACTTTATTTTTCATCAAATAGTCTGGAAGCTATGCCTCTCAGTGGTCCTTATTGTCAAACTGGCTTTTGAGGTGTGGGAGAAAGGAGTCACTTGATGGCACTGAGGAGAAGAAAGCATTACTTCTATGCAAATGTCAGAGTCATAGGAAATCTTCTCTCTTTTTTTTTTTTTCTTTAATCCCCAAAAAGTATTGTCACAGAACTTTGTATAGATAAGATCCCTGTGTGTTGAAGTGTATTTCCTGGGTGGAAGGAGCTATTCAGTTTGCCTTATGCACAGGACATTTCTGGCTCAATTCCATGTGGCTACCAGATTTCTCTTGGTTCTCCAGATCTCTTAGGTGTCCAGGAGAACTGCCACACAGCAGGAA